CATGCTCTCATTTTTGTCGATTTCTTTACCGTAGCAGAAATACGATAAATAAACTTTACCTTTAAATGAATAGTTTTTCTATGCGATTAAGTAGGCGCGTAAAGTGCATTCCCTTAGTTTTGAATTGTAAAGTTTGAAGAGCTGGTAAAGCTTGGCTTTATGATCAGTCACTTTAAAGGAGGGCGTGGAGTTTCATACAAAAACCGCATATATATAAAATTTATTTTTCCGTTTATAAAATAAAAAAGAAAAAATTAAATAGCAAAGCAAGGCAACAACTACAACAATAACAAAAAAAAGGCTATCTAATTATAAAATGCATTTACTTTAAATGATAAAATGATAATGTTGTGCATTGAACTTCAACACATGAAATACACTTTTCGCTGATAATCGGAGATAAATAACATTTATAAACGCGCCAACAAACTGAATAAAACACTTGCAGAATAATAACAAAAACAACAAAAAAGAGAGGGGGGGAAAAAAAAGAGGAAAAACTAAAAACTAGAAATTTTCTAAACAAAATGTTAACGCCACAAAGGACAAAAACAAGAACTAAAGAATAAAAAAGAAGAGAAGAGAATCAATGCAAACACATATAAAATTTTTCTTTTCATACAAAATTAGAAAATATTTTTGGCCTGGGCCGAGAATTCGTGAGTTATATACTGGCAAATGCAATTAAATTCAATGTGTTCATATGTTTAAACGTACCGCGATACGTAGAAGAAGGAGAAGATGAAAACAAAAATGAAAATATTGGAAAAACACTATATAAGTTCACTTCGAATCCCTTGCCATCTACGATCTAAGATTTAGAAGCTAAATAGATTTGTAAATTGCTCACAACGTAAGGGCAACATGACGTATGACGGACATAAAACTAACACTAATTGCGGTTTTGTAAACAATCTGCTATCAACATTCATCGGTTATCTCATAAGGGCAAGATCAAGGTAACACTCTGCATCGATCTTAGAAGGACTATCAGGAACACAATCCCCGATCGCATATAAAGATAACAAGGTTTAAAAATGATCGTGATCAAATACGAATTAACGTAAGGCTAAACGTAAATATCTATTCGAAATAAAAATGAAACGGTACAATGCTGTATTTGCAAGAGTTCTCCCAATCTCTTCGAATATCCAAGATAGAGGGATTTCTTATTTATTTAACTTTTCCCGAAAGGTTAAGCTTACCATTTTATTGAGGGCATCGTTTACTTAAATCCAATGACAGCCTAGTTAGAATGGTCAAGTTAAACCCAGACCCTTACATCACCTTAAAAAGAGAATCTCTTCGTAATGCTTAAAGAATGTAGTGCTCAGAGCCTTTCGAAAATGTTCAGAAATCATATGAATATTTGAATTACAGAGTGTTTACTCTGCTCCTAACCATAAAGTGGAAGCAAGAAAAAAAGATAGAAGAGTTTGGTTTTTTATCATCCATGTATCCATAGTTGGACACATTTTGTTACTCAAGGAGCAGCATGCGTCCTCTTGACGATCACCAATCAATCAATCAATAGGACATAGTTGCCCGTATTAATCGACTTAAGATGTACCGGAAGTTGCGAGACAACATAAGTTTTCTGACAACAGCAACTATAGCTCATCTAACTAACTCAACGCAAACTACTCTCCGAACTAAAGGGGAATTTCTTCATCTTCATCTTCATCGAAAGTATGTGACAAAATATTGAAAAGTTGAAATGCGGCAAGCTATGCGATGCAATAAGAAATTCATGGTAAGTGTTCTTGTATACCTCAGGGTATAAAAACAAAACGATTTTCTCAATTCGTCTTTGAATTTCATTCTTCAGCTTATTTGCTTATTAGTAAAAGAAATTTGTCACTAAAGTTGAAAACAATAACAATCCACCTACAAAGGATATTCAGATTTTTTTTTTTTTTTCCTTTGAATAATTTATAAAATTTGAGGAAAAAGTCTTACGAGTTCTTTACTGAGTGTAAGTGCAACGAGAAAACTCTCATAAGCTTTTCCATTTTTCTTTTATTTAATTTAAATAAAATAATATTTTCATAACGTTAGTCTTTAGCTAATAATAAGTATTTATAGTTTTTTATTTTTTCTGTAATACCATGGATACATACAAACTACATTGTTAATTACATATCATAAATACATCTATGAATCACTCAGATATATTTATTTATATAAGAAAATTTCGTTATTAGGCAATTTAATGCGAGACAAAGGTAATTTCTTTTTTAATTATGAACTTTTTTTAAGTGATTAATAGTTGATTTTTTTTTTTTTTTTTAAGATTATAAGTATCATTGTTGTTGTACATAAAGCGCATACTATGTTGCAATATGTTTTGATTAAATGTTTTTTTTTTTTTTTTTTTTTTTAATGATTGTCTAAATATATATTCGCTTGACCTTTGACATTTAAAGAAATTCTAAAAAATCATGCATAGGTAGACGCGTTACAAAGCACATTTCATTAATCAAATGTTTAATGAACAAAAATGCTAACTATTGCATGAATTTAGCTTTATTTACTTATTACTGACTGATTTCTGACTGAATTCACATGAATACGTTCTTCAAGTGCCGGCAAGAATTTCAACCTTCGTTTAATGTGCGCGGCACTTCATTCTATCTGATTTATATGGAGACGAAATTAATATCATTTAAATATGCATCAATCATACGTATCGCCAAGTAATCGAATATATATAATCATATCTGTTTGTCTGTCTGTGAGTACCGCAAAAAAGTGTAAATCGAATTTTGAAAGACAGTCTTATAGGTCAAGTTCAACTATCAAAATGCATTTGATTCGCCAACTGAACATAACTGAAATCATATTCGCTTTGACACAACCCTCGGAACACGGAATTATTAGTCATTCTATTATTTATAGGCGTGTCCATTAAAATTGAATACAAAATAGCCCATAGATAACCCGACGAAGTATTTGGAAGTAATTCCAAGTTAAAGTTTTCCCCGCAATGGGAAAACACTCAATCTGGACTAGAAATTTTTACATGGTCCTAATAAATATTTGCTCCAAGTTTTCGATTAGTATCTGTTCTGGTTTGATTCCTATTGCTTCCTTATTGACCGCGCCCATTTTCCATTTTTCCATCTGTGACCTTCATTTATATGCCAAGTTTCAGGTTCGCATCGCAAGCAAGCGTTCGAAAATACATACACACACACACACACACACACACACACACAGAAAGAGAGCGGATGAGACGGACGAAGGCATGACCATAAGACCTGGGGGGGGGGGGCGGGAAAACTTACTCCCAATCTTAGCAAGATCTGGGATACGTATTACTCAATCGTTTAAATGAAAAGTCAAATATACGATGAACTCATGCCGAGGAGTTGGGTGTAAAATATCGATTGTGAATAACTTGAATAACGACAAACTCTTTTTGTCAAGATTGCAAAGGAGTTCGCTGATCAGGTAATTGAAAAACATTATGACTTTTAATGCATATGCTTTTAAATAAGCGCCTACGCTGGCTTTGCTTGTCCTAAGGCAAATATTATAAAATTTTCTTCATTTTGTGTTTCTTTTTTTTTGTTCAGTTCATCTATCTCTTAACACTGACCGTAAGGAAATAAAAATCCTCCAAAGAGAACAAAAGAGTTTGCTAATCTTTCTCGGTAAAAAATGATAATCTTGAGTTTTTCTTAATAGTGCGACAATTTCATAGATCGACAAAAGTTAGCATTTCTTTGACTGTATACTGGTTCGAAATATCAGATAAATATCTCTTACCGATCACAAGAGATTGAAGTGATTTCATTGAAATCAAGTACTTTTGCTGACACCCATTACACCCATTTTTTGAAACTTCTCATTGACAACAAACAAACTGAGATTTCTTTACAAAGTCAGGCTAAATATTGACTACGTAGCTTCAACTCAACTTTGAACTCAACAATCGAGTCTCTAGGGCCGATAACTACTAACTAAAGGCGAAATGCTTCTAAATAATTTTTAATAATAATTTTAGAAATTATGCATAGAAACATAATATCTTCCTTATCATCGTAGATCTCATTAAATTTATAATAAGCGATCGGTGATTCAACTTGGCAGCGTAGGCGGTGTAGACTGGCGTGTTGACTCAGCGAGCTACTTTAATCACCGATGGAAAATTCCGATAATGGTTATAGAATGATATATTTTTATCCGTCCGTGCGTTCCTAACGAAAAGCATTACCCAATTATTTTTAGCCAACGCACTCAACTCAAGCACTGTACACAACCTACGCTGGTAAATTGACTTTATCATACCTACGCGGATGCATTTATCTACCCTATGTTTTTTTTTTTTCTTTTGGAAACATATTTTATGAATTTTACAATAATTCCTATTGTGCTTTTCTTTTCTTTTTTTTTTTGTGTTAATACAACGAAATTCTGTAAAATTTCTGTGGTTAGCCGTTGAAACGATAGGATATTTTTAACAGCATAAAGAACCACCGAACCGATCAATGTCCAGCGGCAGACAAATCTATCAAATAATTCATTTTCCTTTGCGTTTCAAAACCGCGGCTCGAAAAGAAAGGATACAAATTTGAAAATAAAAACTCAATTACACATATTTTAGGGAACAAATTTTGCCGGTTAACGTAAAGCCAACAGAACGAGATAGAGAGAGATAGACAGAGAGAGAGAGAGAGATAGATAGATAGATAGATAGGTAGATAGAGAAAGAGAGAGAGAGAGAGAGAGAGAGATAGAAAAATGGAGAAATATAGATAGATAAAGAGTGAAAGAGATAGATAGACAATGAGATAGAGCGGAATATCAATTGCTCGTCATTGAAAGTAGAAACCACGGCTTGGTGACCTTCTCGAAAATCGGTTATTTGAAATGAAAATTATATATCAATTTATGAATCGAATGACGGATGACCTTTGCAAATTTTCTGCCACAAAAACAAAAAAAAAAAAACCAATTATTTCAAGTGAAATTATTTAACTTGAAATCGAACTTACCCTTTGGCGTAATTCACGCTCAACTTCAAGATCATCTTGGAGTAATCGAATTTTATCCTGGAAAAATAAATGATTAAAATCAAGATACACTTGAATGAAATATTAGTTTGCTGCTCTCTCCTTTCTTTGTAAATTGATTTTTCAATTTATTTTCAGTTTTTGGATTTTTTTTTAGTTTTTTTTTTTTCATCCAATTACATAATAATTCCAATGATTTATAAATGTTCTAATTTTTTTTTGTTTTTTTTTTTATAATATTTTTGGCATCTACACATTCCTAGGCACGTATGATTCGATTTGTATGTGTATTGGTGATTGTAAATATTTAAAAAAAAAAACTTTTTTGCACTCATTTCACAAAATATTCAAGTTTTCGATTTTGCTTTTTATTGTTGTTGTATTTTCTCATATTAAAAATTTGTTTTAATTCAATATTGTTATCACTTAAAGCCTTTCTTACCTCAAGGCGTGAGAGGGCGCTTAAATCGGCGACATATTCTATGTTGATATCGGCAGCACCCGGTCCAGTTGAGGTGGCCCTATAGGAGTATTTCGATGAACGTATAGCTTGCGATGAAGACATTTTATTTTTATTTTGTTTTATTTTATTTATTTATTTTATTTATTTGCGTTTTTTTAATTTTATTTTATTATGTATAAGAGTTCACTTTGTTTAGGTTTAGTTACTTTTTTAATTAAAAAAAAATTTTTTTTTCTTTTCTTTGTGTATTGGAAAAAAAACAAACGAAAAATTGTTTTCACACGTTGCTGTCGCTGTATTTTTTTTATTTATTTTTTTTTTTCTTTCTTGGTTCTTTTTTTATATAAAAACCGAAAAAATAGTTTAAACTTAAAAAAGAATTTTCTTTTTTGTTAAAAAAATTTCCTCCTGGTATAACGAAAAGTGGAATAAAAGTAGTTGTCACCGAGTCACCGAATAATTCGTAATAAACGTCGGAGTAAGGCTGGTGATCTACTGAACAAGAGATCCCGGTGTCGTTCGAATAAAGAGTATTTCGTGTATTTGTCGGTACGATTAATGTTTTTCGTCTATTTCTACCAAAAATTTCTGTTTTTTCTGCAACAAAAACAAAAAAAAAAAAATAAATAAATAAAAAAAAATTTTTTTTTTTTTTTTATTTGATATTTAACTGTTCTTATTTTTCAGATTTTTGAGCGATTTTCCTTTTTGATTTCGTTAGTCTCTAAGCATTTTTCTTTGTTTCTTTCTTTTTTTTTCATTTTATTTTTTTTTTATTTTTTGAGTGAGTGGTTTCTTATTTAATAGTAAATGTGTGCTGATGAGCATATGCGTACACGCTTGGGTGTACGTATGCCTATGTAATATGGTCGCTTATTTATGTGTGTATAACGATTTGCAGTTTCGGTTTGATTTGCTTTGATTTTTCTACCCATGACCGAAATAATGATCTATACTTGACTTGTTGTACGATTTGTAACATCCCGAAGCATGATATTCTAAATTCGTTTACTTCATCTGATGGCCATCCTTTTTAGATGCAAATATATAGTGTACGAGACTTTGAATCGATTCGCCCAAGCCTGGATGTCCGTCCGTCGGTATATACTAATCGGTACGTTTTCAAATGGTCAGTCTTTCTATTAGTCCGTCCGTCTGTTTGCTAATTTTTCACATGTATAGAAGACTCCAATCGGTTCATTCATTTATCTTTTTTGAAACTTTCTAACTCGTTTTGTCCCGAAAGAAATAACTTGGCTTTATTCTTCTCCGACCAAAGCTCGATTATTAACTTTAAGCAGTGCGAACGATATTTTTCTCCACATCGTAGATCGATTTATATCATAAATGGTAATTGGACTTGAAGAACTTGAAACAATATTTCTTAAAGGCTTTTCAATAACTTTATTTGGCTTTTCGAACAAGTCTAAGCATCTTTCAGTAAAGATGTTGTGCTATAAGGAGCGTAAGATCGAGGTCATATAAATCTTGGTGATTAACTAAAAAGTATTTCATTTCTAATAAGTCCTAGTACTTTTCGGTTCTAATGCATTATACGATTATATAAGATGTCCTTCCTAATGAAAATGTTAACGTTTTGGGGTTCACGTTTTCCAAACAGAAAGATAATTGAAAATCACTCTACCTTTAGTTAAGGAATTCCATTCAAGCTAGCTTGCACTTCGTACGTTACATTTCTTGGAAAACTTTTGTTCACGTAAACACCATTCCTTACCTTAGTACAATTGATTATGGATTAATCATGTACGGCAACAACGTCAAATCAATTATAAACATTCCGCAATCAGTTTAACGCCAAGTAACCAAAACCAGCGCATATGCTTTCCGAACGACGCTCCTCAAGAGCATTATTGCCGAGATCGCTTCTCCCAATTTTAGAAAATAAAGTGTATGAGTTAACAGGTGAAATTACATCGAAACTCTTAAACTGTAGATTCCCGGGGGCTCGGCGAAAACGTTGAAAAAAAAGAAACCAGTCCCTCTCTACTTCTCTTGCTCTCTCTCTCTCTCTCTCTCTCTCTCTCTCTCTCTCTCTTTGCAAAATAATTGTTAACATCTTTCTTTTGCACGTTGCTTATACAGCAGTAGATGGGCAGAGAGTAACTTCAAGTTCAAGCCGCAAATCTTGCCCTCAAGACTGAGCTTAAAGTGGTTACCTGTCACAGGTACTTTCTCGATCATGAAAATTATCTGAAATCCCTTGCATTCCAGCCGGTACGTTATTAACAAAGTAAAGAATATCAGTCCATTTAGATGTACAAAATTAAATTTTTTTATGTAACAAGACGAGCAGACCTCACACCTTGAGTTACGGACGGTGTAATGGAAAAGATTGGCATTCAACAATATAATAAAAAAGAAAAAATTGAAAGAAATCGAAAGTGATTCCGTTCATCACACTACCCACATGTTAATCCGAACTTTGTTTCACCCATTTATCCGATCAATGTCAAGACAACGTCGGCTTTGTGATACAGCAATCGATCCTTAAGAAATCTATCCATCTATCCAATTTGCGATTGTCGAATACACACTTACGATTAAACTTATAGCTTGAGAATACGAAAACTTTTCCAAGATTTAAAGATTCGTGTGCGAAGCTTCTTACTTTATGGGCATATCGAAAGTATCTAAAAAACTTAATATCAATAACATGTACATAACTCTATTAAAGAGGCTAGAGTAACCGTCTAGTCTATCTTTTTAAGGAGAAAAAGAAGAAGACCGATAAGGTTAGTTGGTAGTGTTAGTGCTCGTCCAACTTCAGTTTAAGATTTTCTTTTTTTTGGCCTAAATAAATAATAATAATAATGCCTATGAAAAAATGCCAAGGAGCCGATATATCTCGCTTAAGCCTGGAAGTTCGTATATTCCTATAATTACAGCAAAAGAGTGACCAGAGTGACCAGTCAGTCAATCTCTCCACTTAGTTTGTCTATAGACTTTCCTTTATGTGGACATCTTTTTTGGCTATTCTGCGTAAGTAGGTTTTTGGATTAGGCTGAAACCTATATCCGTCCTTCTGTCCGTTCAAGTTATCACGATAATCTGACAGGCTAATCTCGAAGGATTTCTAATTTCTATTTTTCACAAGTATTCGAAGAGATTTTACGACCAACTGAATTCATTCATGGCTCGCTTTTAGTTCATCGTTAAACTGAAAATGAAGTATTAACTCTTGACTCTTTTCATAGCTAGCACGGTTTTCAGGTTTTTGAGCTTGCAAGCGATGTCACGTTCGGAACGTTGCATTTATTTTGACGAAAACAAAGTGTAGGTAGCAAAAGCTACGGTCCAAACTACACATAATTCCTCTCTCGCTTATAATTTTTCGTTTGTGTTTTTTTTTTTTTTTTTTTTAATTCCTCTAAAAGCATTTTTCACGCATTGCCGTTTTTTTTTTCTTTGTTTTTCTTATACTTTCACTGGCTACCGTCTGTTAAGATATTGTTTTTGTTTCAGATATTTGTGTTAATTGCCGTTTAGTTGAGTGTGTTAAAAATTCTTTTGATTTCTCATAGTTTCTATGCTACCGTTGCTGTTGTTGTGGTCGCTGCTGCCGTTTCGTCCTTTCCTCTCTTTTAGCGAAACTTTCGAGAGCTCAGCGTCTCTGCCTATCCACCTTAGCAATTGAGTTGATTTTCTTTTTTTGTTTTTTTCTATTTTTCTTTTTAAGTTTTATACCTGTAATTAGCTTTGATGCGTGCATGTACGTGAGTGTGCAGTATATTGAAATATTATTTTTCTTCTTCTTCTTTTTTTTTTCGTATTTTTTATTTAACTTTTGAAAATAGATTTCCGTACTGATCACATCACACTTTTACACAACACACCGTATATATATAGATATATATATCTATATATATATATATGTATATATAAATATATATATATATAAGTAATCATATCTTTGAACTTTGGAAATCTAAATATTTCTTCATTTATTCTAATTTTCTTTCAATCTTTTGGCGAATGAATTTTTATATATACTTTTTTTAATTAAGTTTTCAATTGAAAAAAATCTCATTTTTTCCTATTTTTACATTATTTGATTGATGAGTTCCGATGATTAATCATGAACTAAAGAAAAATTTACGAAAAATAATTTTCTTTTTTTTCATTGCGTTCATTTCTTTAGCATTTAATGCATGTATATATGCACGTATATGTACATAGATATTTGATATTAATATAAATGTTGTTAGATTCAAAATTTTTTAATGACATTACTGGGTTAATATGCATGATATACTTATGTTCGATGCATATAAAGGTGAAGATCTAGATGCTGTACAAGCAAACAAGTTTTTTCTTTTCAAAATTTCTAATATAATCAGAAAAATTGTATGATTATTAAAATCATATAGAACGTTTCGCGAACGAACAAAGAGATCGCACTCTTTCACGAAATTCAAGAATTGAGATTGAATTGATTCCTTTAATATTTCACAAAAACGATTAGTTGAAAAAAAGAAAAAATCCACGAAAATCGATATCCAAATGATATATCAGACTTTCTCCGATTTCAAAAACGTTCATACTTTACTATGAAGTTGTCTTACTTCCTACATTCGGCCATTCCCAATCGGCCATTCGCCCCCACATTGTGAACTTTTTGCAACCTCACACCTCATATCCATCCCACTTACCAGGACCACGAATTGAGTTCGACTTATGCTAACCAAATTGTCCTGTTGTCATGCGACTTGAAGATGAATATTTTCTCTTCTCATATATCATTTTTCTATTAAGAAAATTGTTTCAAGTTGCTTTCGTAGGCCAGGCGGTGTTTTAACAAAATAATTTAAATAAATTAA